TCTCTCAAGTGAATATCACGCGACCGTAGTATAAAAACTTTTTTAATTTTTATTTCTCAATTTTTTTTAGATTGCTTTTTTAAATCTTGTCGACATGAACTTACGATCGACGATATTTGCTTGAATCGGGAGGAAGTGCACGCGTGATCTCCGACACACCCTGTAAAGTTGCTGTCAACGAGCGTGTCGGGCGTGTATGACCTGTCTTGCTCTCCCGCGTGGCGCGATTAAAAGTTCAACGAACGCGTGCGGTCTCCCTTCATTGATCACCGCGGCGATGATGAATCAGAAGAGTCGCGTAAACGAAGAGGATGCGTTGCAGTAATTGGATATCGTCGGCCGAGAGAAAGTATTGTTCACGTGTGAAAAGTGTTAATTGTTCCGACTTTATTGTATGTACATACTACATACTTACTATATATATATATATACATATATACATATCATATATTTTTTTATTATATTAATTTTTTTATTTTATATTTTATAATTATTAGTATTTTTCTCAAAATCAGTTTCGAGTCAGTCTCGAAAAAAAAAAAAAATATATATATATATATATATATATATATATATATATATATTAACTTTATTAACTTTAACAGATAAGAGTCTAATTGAAAAATTTCTATTTATTGTCTGTTTGCACTTTCCTTTTTTTGTAAAAAAAATTTTTTAACTTTATTTGAGATAAGACTGATAAGAGTTTACTTGATATTCAAATTTCTATTTGAAAAATAATATTATATTATATATTATTATATATTATTATCTGTTTCTATTTGTAAAATTTAGTTTGATAAAAAAAACTCTATTTGCCTGTAATTTAACGATTATCCATCTTTTTCTTGTAAAAAAAACTTTTAAGTTCATAGAGATAAGAGTCTACGTAAAATTTAAATTTTTATTTGAAGACGAATATTTGTGTTTATTTTTTTTTAATTTATTTTTGTGAAATCATTTATTTTCCGTAGCCTATAACTTGATCCATCTTCCCTTTTTTCTTTTTAGCAAAAAAATATTTAAATTAGTATTAATTCCATTCATGTAAAAAACGGTTTATAAAAAAATTGAATATGATTTTTATTAAATTAATTTTTCCTCAATCTATTTTTACTTTCTAAATTTATTGTATTATTATTATCATTAAATTGATTCAGCGATTTATTTATAAAAATATATATCTTGTCACATATATTTAAAAATAAAAACTAATACAGGCCTTTTCAAAATTCATCATCGAATCAATACTCAACGTATATATATGTATATGTCATATTAGTCCAGAATATTGAACGTTATCTTGAAGTACATCTTGCAAAGAGAATACACGGCAATATTGTCAATTTTATTTAACGTTATCGAAATGATAGAGAGAAAGCGCCGCCGGCCGAGTAATTGTATACAATTACATCATTTGTTTGCTCTCCGGAGCCGGATCGTGAGAACCAGGTCTAACCGAGCGTTTAAACACGCCGGTTAAATTCGTGTGCGCGCATCACGAACACATGAACGAGCCGCCTCATATCGTCCGTATGTGTTATATATAAAGCGCGTCAGCGGTAATTAATCAGCGCGCGAGTCGACGAAGCTAAATGGAGCCGGCCATACGGATCCATCATATCGCTCCGCGTGAATTCCACGAGTTCTCTGGCGTGTGTCGGATTTATTTATTTATGGAATTTACGCTCTTATTTGTCCATTTTTCAGCATCGAAACAATTAGCCACGCTAATTAATTTTGCCGTGTTTCAGAATCGCTAATTAGCGGCGCGTGGATGGATAATTAGAGAGAGAAGCGGGGGACATATTTTTACTTTAAAAATGTTTTACTTTGTTCAGAAATTTGCTAAATGAATATTTAATCGAAATTTATTGCTATACATCAAGGTTGGGTAAGTTTATTATTTTTTTGAACTAAATTAATTTAAAGTTCGACAATATCAAATAATACTTATAATTTGCTTGTATATTGTTAACAACAAATAACTTATTTAAAGACCAACACAAAGAGCACTTATTAAGGTGATATAAAATAAAATAAACGATTTATTTCATATATATTACAAATAAACGTTTCGACCGCACGCAGCTTTCTTCAGTAAAAATTCCATTCAAATCAATTTACTATATATCATGAAGTTAATAGTCTTTCGTTAATATGAGTCGAGAATTAAAAACAAATATAATATATATCGCTCATTTACTGAATAGCCTCCTTAAAACCAAGAGCTATATTGCTACATGCTATCTGGTAAAATGATAGATAACAATGATTTGTTGTTCTCATTAGATGTGGTATCGCTTTTCACCAACGTACCTCTGGATCTTGCGATTAACGCTATTAATGATAGGTGGGAGCATATTGAAATGAATACAAAAATACCTAAAAAAGAATTTATAGAAGGGATAAGGTTCATTTTAACGTCCACATATTTCACATTCTTAGACAAGACATACAAACAAACATTTGGGACCCCCATGGGCTCTCCACTGTTCCCGATTATAGTTGATTTGGTTATGCAGGATTTAGAAGACAGTTTTGAAATTGTTAAACATCAGCTGTACTTTTTATTTTCGATACGTTAATGACATAATATTGGCCACTTCTGGTGAGAACTTGAATCTAATTGTAAATTACTTTAATAATTATCACGATAGACTCAAATTTACTGTTGAACGAGAGGTTAACCGTAGCCTGAGTTTTTTTAGACTTGTCAATTAAAATAAAAAATGATATGATACACATAGATTGGTATCAAAAAGATACTTTTCAGGAAGAACTCTATCATTCTTTTCTTATCATCCATTGTGCCACAAGATTGGTATAATTTACAACTTAGTAGATAGATGTTTATATATATCCACAATTTTTTGACAAAAACTTGGAATTAATTATTAGTATATTAATAAGCAACGGTTATCCTCTTGATCTCATTTTCAACAAGATTAATCATCGAATAGGACATCTCATTTCCAAGAAAAGCATTGTAAATAGAGATATTACCGCTAAACAAATAGATAATTCAGATAATGAATCAGTATATAAAAAATTATTTGTTATTCCATACATTAACAAAATATCAGAAATGATTGTCTCTTCGGTTAAAAATAAGGACCTCACAATAGGATAGAGATGTTTTAATAAACTTGACAAAATCATTAAGATACATAAAGATAAAAATGAACACTCGTGTAACTCAAATGTAGTGTATAAGATAAATTGTAATGATTGTAACGCATCATATATAGGACAAACGAAGAGACAATTGCAGAGTAGAATAAAAGAGCATAGAAACAATATTAAATTAGATTTGATTAGACATTCGGTAATTTCTGAACACATATTAAATAAACAATATACATTTAAACAATGTTAAAATTTTAGATAGTGAAATTAATTATCATAAAAGACTCATCTCTGAGATGTTACATATTAAGGAACAAAGAAATGGTTTGAATTTAAATAAAGATACCGAATTACTCAGTGAATTTTATTTTGATATTTTAGACAAAATAGCAAACATTTAATATAAACATATAAGACAAATAGGTCGTCAGAGACATTCTTAGATCAAACCTAATACACACATAACTAAGATCGAGCACAGTTGGAAATGAGAGGTCTTGTCATACGTGACTTTCTTTGAAGAACAACATATATTATAAGTAAGCGTGTGAATTTTATTACTATTTTAACTTGTGACATAGCACTAATTTATTTATTTATTCATTAATCATAGTGCGGTTAACAACTATTTCTCGCATAGAATCGAAGAAATTGTACGGAATCTTTCCAACATCTTAAATGTTGTTTAGTATGCACAAGTTCAGCGATATATATTATATTTGTTTTTAATTCTCGACTCATATTAACGAAAGACTATTAACTTCATGATATAGAAAATTGATTTGAATGGAATTTTTACTGAAGAAGGCTGCGTGCAGTCGAAACGTTTATTTGTAATATATATGGAATAAATCGTTTATTTTATTTTATATCATCTTCATAAGTGCTCTTTGTGTTGGTCTTTAAATAAGTTATTTGTTGTTAATTTAAAGTTAATGGCTTATAAAATTAATTTTGTTATGTTAAAAGTTGCATGTGAAAACTAATTCAGTTTAAAGTCGAGTTAAGATTAAATTAATTTAAGTTCAATTAAATGTTAATTTTTAGAAAGATTATTTATATTAAATTAAAATGTCATAACTTTAAAATTTTTTAATTTAATATTTTTTGTTAATTTTTTAAATTTATATAAAAAATTAACATAAACAATTATATTTAAGACCCAGCAAAAATTTAGTTTCTTTTATATAGAAATGTTTTTTTTCGTAATTAGAATAATGAAAAAAAAATTAACAGTACCTTTATTTATTTAATCATTCTTGTAAGAATGACATACATTATAGAACGATAATTTTTAATTAAAATTTAGTCGCTATTAAAAATTAATTGTCCAATGTTTAAGATTTATAGAAAAGTTATAGTTAGTTAGTAGAAAAGTTATAGAAAGTTATAGAAAAAGATAATGAAATATTCAGAAATGAAAAGAAATAGGAAAAAATTAATAAGTTTAAGTTTAAAAATAACTAGTTTAAGTTAAAAATTAACTTATTTTAGATTAACTAAGCTATGCTAAAAAGTATTCACTTTTTAACTTTTTATTTAATTTGTAACTAATTAACTAATTACTACCCAACCTTGTCATATAAATTAAAAAAAAAAAAGTCGACACTGCACATTTGACAAGTATTGCTAAATAATAAAAGTCCCTAGAAGAAGACGAGGGGTATTTTTATTTTGCATCGCGAGAATATAATAAAAAAAAAATTTTATAATTATCACACACGACTGTTTGCAGCGTCAAAAGCATCGACGCAAATCACTCGCTTCGCAATTAGTATTTCGTCGTTAATCGTCCCTGACAATTATGAACGCATCGACGACGCATCATCCTCTCGGATCGCGGTTCAGTCGTTTGCGATACGGATCGGATTTATAAACGATATTACGCATCAATCTCAACGATATGGCGATATTTGGTGTATTTTTGCGCGACCTTCTCCGATATATTCGAAACGGTGAGTTATCAGGTATCAGGAGGAAAAAAGAACGTCGAAGAGAGAAATTGACGCGATTATAGGATTCGAGCGAGATGGTGAGAATTTTCTCTCTCCGATCAGAGATTTCTTGCAACGGGTCGGGCGAATCTAGGACAGGTTCAGAAGGTTACTCATGAAAAATTGCCGGCACACTTTGTCCTGTTAATCATTTTAGATGAATCTCTCCAGGTGTAATCACCGGTTTAAATTACAATGGTGCTCAACATAAATATCGCGCGGTTCTACGACATGCGTGCATATTCTTCTCAATTATCAAATTTACATTGCAAATATTTTCACATAGAAATAATTTGTATCCGGTAACAAATTATATATTATTATATATGTATATATTTTTAAATAGAGGGCGAAGTAGGAAAAGAAAATGTAATTTTTAACAGAAATGTATAAAATGGAAATATTTAAAATATTTTAGATATTTAAATCAGTATTTTTTAAATCTAGAACTATCATAAAAAGTTTGCGTAATTAACGACACGTGCATTTTTTCTCCTTAAGTAATTTTTCATTGCAAATATTTTCACATGGAAAATTATATCTAATATCAATTTTATATATATATATATTTTTTTATTATAATTAAACACATGTTAATATGAACTTTTTTTATTCAAAATGGTCCATACTACAACCTCCTAGTATGCAGTATGTACCTTTCTTCCTGAAACACCCTGTACATGTATTTTTTTTAAATGGGAAGGAAGGCAAAGACAGAAATGCAATTTTTAATAAATATGTATAAAACGAATGGAAGATATTTAACACATTTAAACACAGTAGGAAAATTTGTGTTTTCTTGTTAAAAACGGTCCCTATTAAAATTTTTGTGTTAAATATTTAACACATTTATGTGTTAATTTAACACATTGCTGTTAATTGAACGTAAATGTTAAATTATTAAGACAACTGAAAAAAGATGTAAAAATAACACGATGTGCATCTATTTCCAATTTTACACAATAAATATGTTTTGTTTTATTAGTGACAAGATTTATCTCTTAAAATTTACACAATAAAATGTTGATGTTTTATTTTATAATCTAAATAGGGATGATAAAATCTAAAATTAACATATTTTTAGTTAATTTTTATATTAAAACTATGTTATTAATTTTACACAAAATTTATTTTAAATTACTTGAAGTTTTGCATTTATTTTGTATTACAATATTAACACAGTATTTATGTCTCCATTTAACATATCCATATATTATATTATGTTAAACTAACACAAAAATTTGTGTGGACCGGTTGGGACATGTGATATTTGTTAAATTTTACACAAATTTTTCAACTTAGTGTATAGTCATAGTTTTAGCAATATTCAATATTAATTAAAATGAGAAACCTTGTATAACATTTATATAGCTTTATAAAAAATTCTTGTTCGTAGTTTAATAAACTACGAAAACTCGAGTTATTCGTAAAAAAATGATTGAAAAATCATGAAATTATTTTTGCGCGATAGAAATAACTTTAGAAAATTGAAATTTTTTTCAAAATTATTAAATAATTTTGCAATAGAAAAATAACAATTACATTTAACAAAAATTTTTCAACCGTGCTTTTATCATTGCAGACGTAAATCGTCGCAAGATGGCGTCTAACGAGGACGGCGATCTGATTGATCTCGGAAACGATGCCTGCGTACCACGTGTTGCGGTGGAGGACGCGACACCCGAGGAACAGGAGCACCTGCTCGACGTGTGTCCCCCGAAACTGGAGCGGAAGCTTTTCCTCACCAGGCGGCAGGAGCAAGTCCCGGACAGCGTCGACAAGGGTGACATTCTGGTGACCTTGGGTCACGATCAGGTGGTACCGATTCGCAAGAGGATCGACGTGGTCTCGTCCGACACGATTAAGCGGATTCGCGACATCACGAAGAATCTCGAGCCGGTGATACGCAGAACTTCTCGCTCGAACATCATCAGCGAGGAGACCCAGGACACGGTGGACCACGGGATGACCTTGGACCGCGAGGACGAGACTTATGAGACGCGGGAGATAAACAACGCCTTTGACTTCCTCGCCGAGCACGATGACGACCATGAAGACCGGGCGGAAACGAGTCCGAAGAACGTCTCCGCGCGTCTCTTGAAGGAGGACCCGGTCAGTCATCCCTTCGAGTCGTCGTCAGGGACCTCGAGCGAGGAAACGGTCGGTGGAAGTGACGCGGAGGAGAGGATGAATCACGTCCAGCTGGACAATCCGGCTTTCGAGGCCTCGCCGGATTCGAGGAAGGATCCCTCTCGCGAGGACGATCCGGTCGAGGAGCCGCGCGCGAGGATCCTGAAGAGACGAGGTCATGAGGACGTCGCGTTCGAGCGCGGAAGCAAGAAGCGATTCTTACGAGAGCCCCACCGGAAATCGTGGACGGAAGGGACGAGATTGAATGATGCGTCATCCCTCATCGACGAACTTCCCGGCATCGATAGATCCACCAGTCTCGATCGTCAATATCGATGTTCAGCGGCGACTTCAGACGTCCGCAGTGGATTGTCCAGCTTTCTCACGAGGTAAGAGAAATGTCTATCGTATTTCTATATTTTTTCTGAATTCGAAGCTTAAAAATTCAATGCGACACTAGTGGTGATCGCGTGAACTATCATAAATGGCCGCCGCGAATATACATACATCTAACATTATCTTATTTTTTATCATTATTATTTGAAAAATTAATTAATAATGTTCCAGTGATCACATGAGATTCTGATGTCAAGGTACTTATTTGTGCACATAAGGAATATAAATCTATTCTTTCTTGACTTTTCATAGTTACACCGTACATAATAATCATGCCGGAATTTATAACATTCTGGCTTTCGATCATATTCTTTGATGAAGGCGTAGCTTTTGTATAATCACAGAGTGTGTCTAGCCGCAATAACAACAGCTTTTTCATTAAAACAATTTATTTTTACACTTAAAACTGTTGTTGTATATTCGCGGCGGCCATATTTGCTTCAGTAGCGCCTCTCTTACCGCGGTGGACGTTTTTTTCGTTAATAGGAAGTGTTTTCGAGTATATTTGAGTTTTTTTTTGGTGGAGAGGAAGGAAATTGTACTACAGTTTTTCGTGAAAATTATATAAGTCCATTTTAATTAATAGTCGAATGTTGCTGAAGTTATGCCAATATAAAGAAAATATTTTATATAAAAATTAAAAGATGAAAAAAAAACAGTTGATAATCTTTAATTTTAATTAAAGTAATTTTTTAAAGTTATTTGAGTATATAATTTGCAACTAGCGCTACCTATTTTTTTTTTAAATAATTTCTCTCATTATCTTATGCATAAAAGTATTGAGATAAAATAATCGGAAAATGTTTATTTTATAAGATATTTTATAGTAAAGTTTTATGTAAAATTATATTTCACTGAAACACAAAAAATATCTCTTAAATTATTAATTTTTTTGATCATCCTATACTTATAACTTTTCAATGCCAAATATTGCGAGAAACTTTTATATAAAATAATTAGAGTAATTTTATAAAAAAAAAGAATAACCGTGATTTTGAAAAATGACTTTTGTTAGTTCAAATTCAATATTATCAACTTTATTCTTTCGAAATTTTTAAACTTTTGTAAAATAAAATATTTTCTCGTTACACGGTTGAAAAAATTTTTTATTTCTTCTTAAAATCCCCTTGTTAAAATTTTTGTGTTAAATATTTAACACATATACGTGTTAACTGAAAAAAATGTAAAAATAATACAATGTGTATCTAGTTTTAATTTTGCACAATAAATATGTTTTCTGTTTTATTAGTGATAAGATTTATCTGCTAAAATTTAAAAATGTTGATTTTATTTTACAATATAAGTAGGGTAGTGATAAAATGTAAAATTAACATTTTTTTCAGTTAATTTTTACATTAGAACCATGTTAATTTTATACAAAAATTATTTTAAGATTACTTGAAGTTTGCATTTATTTTATGTTAAAATATTAACACAATATTCGTGCCACATGTCCATATTATGTTAAATTTACACAAAAATTTCTGTGGACTATTTAGGACATGTGATATTTGTTGAATTTAACACAAATTTTTCAATTGTGTATAGTCATAATTTTAGCAATATTCAATAATAATTAAAATGAGAAACTTTGTATAATATTGCTTTAAAAGTAACTTTAGAAAATTCGACATTTTTAAAAATCATTAAATAATTTTTCAATGGAAAAACAACAAGTACGTTCGAATTGTCAAGTTTCTCGACTTCCTGTCGAAGACTGCGATATTTTTGCGACAGCCTCCGTCTTTTCCTTATTTGCGTAAAATAATCATCCGACTCGGTGAAGGTTTCTCACGGCGAACGAGTATCGTATAGCCGCTATACGTCCGCGACTTGGATGTATATATAAGAATTCGCGAAATAATAGACTCGAATGCGTCGGCAGGAAGAAGCGCGCTTTCGTGCCGGAAGTATTTACATAGGCCCGACTTAACGAGCGTGCAAACTGTTTCGATTCAGACTCGCTCGACGAGCGTAACACGTCGTCTTATAGCGGCAACATGCACAAAATCTCCTCGTCGATCGAAGTGCATGTAACGACCTGACAATGAAAATGCAGATCCTCTTTGACAACCGCGAAATGCATTGCATTTGCCCTGCCTTTCAAGTTATTAGCATAAGTGCAAGCTCGAGGATATTAGAGAGTAGATCTTTCGAGGTGGTTGCGCTCTCAACCAACTTGGAATATTCATTGAATATTTCTATATTCGTTTCGCTAAGTGTCATTTTCCTTCTCTTTCTGTCGTAAAATTGTGAAAATTTTCAACCAAATATACAGGGTGTCCCAGTTTAATTAATATAGTCGAATATCGATCCTCAAATGACCTTAGTTAAGATTCAAGATTGTTAACTATTTTCTCCCTCGAAAACTTTCAACTTTTAAAATGGGACACTCTGTAAATCTAAAAATGGGATCGTTTTTTTATAATTGTATAATTTTAATTATAGTCGAATATTGATCTTCAAATGACCTTGAAAAATGACCTTAGTTAAAATTCAAGATTGTCAACTATTTTCTCCCTCGAAAACTTTCAATTTTTAAAATGGGACACTGTATATCTAAAAATGGGGTCGTTTTTTTGTTGTTTAATTACGATATGACAATGATATAATAAATTATAGCGATCTTTGAATGTTGAACTCGCAATTATCGTAAAAATATTTCTTTCAATTAAGAACATCGAAAGTTAATATATTGAAGAAATTCGCTCTCTCTGGTGATAGTAAGACTTTCTAGCAGCAACAGGGTCCGAACATTCGAACTTACAGATATAGATATACATATAAATCTTGGCTCGAAGGAGAAAAAATTATGACGGTCAAGTTGTAAAAGTACAAAACGACATTGTAGACACACAGAGTAAATGGATTTTCACGATGATTCGCGCAACGGTATATCGCGAGGCGAACATTCACATAAGCACTCACAATCGACACGCGATGAATTAAAGCCCCGCTTCGGAAGAAGAATAGAACATTACGCGCGCGACACGTGAAAGCGGAAAATTCTGGTCACGTGTTGCCGCAACAATGCAATATATTATACAAAGGGACAATTAACCTGTCGACATAAAACAACTATTTTGTTTCTGTATTTCGAATTCCTGTCAAAAGTAATTTATTTGAAATATACATATTAGGAAATATATATTATATTTTTTTATAGTGTGACATTTTTTTGCTATAAAATAATATTTCTTTTTTATGATAGAGATTTTTTATAATAAAAGATATTTTTTCTTGTATTATATTTCATATTTCTGTCGAAAGTAATAAAAAATAATTTATTTGAAATATGTATTTAAAAACATATTTTTTATATTATAAAGTTTTTATTATAAAATAATTTTATATAAAGTAATTAATTTTGATCTAATATAACTAATTTTGTTTGTATATTTCGTATTTCTATTTAAAGTAATTTATTTGAAATATTATATAATATATAATATAATATATATATATAATATTATACAAATATTTTAAAAATACAGGTTGTTTTTTTTAAGTGATACATTTGATTATCTTAAAAATGAGACGTTTTTGGAAAAAATTTTTTATATGAAACTTGTAAGGTTTCGAGAGGGACATAAGATTGTGACTCATCAGGATTGCCTAAGTGACATTTTTCAATGTCGTTTAGAGGTCAAATTTTCTTAAATAAAACTACTATATTTTTTTACATAAATTGATTCCTTACAATATTCAGCATAAAAAGTTACAACTTTCATATGAAACATTTTTTCCAAAAACATCTCGTATTCTGAAGCTAATCATTAGCTGTATCATTCGAAAAGGGACACTCTGTATACAACTCTGTATTACAAAAAAATGTTTTTTACAGAGTGTAAAATTGTTGCTATTTCCTTTTTATAATAAAATACGAAAATAAAATATCATTATTTCATTACGCGTTTAAAGCTATTATTATTATCTGTTTCAAACGCACAATCGGTTAGTTTATTAATTGCCACCCAGTAGCGTACACGCAGAACAGTGTGTTTTCCGCGATTCTTCCGTTTACATGCATTAATGCCACGTTCCAGAAGCAATTCACCGTCGTATCCGCGGTCTTGCAACAATAGCAAGTCGTGCTTTTGTTCTCCGCGTGCGCAAGGGAAATAATTAATAACAATAGCGTTTGCGCGCAAACACACGCACACAATCGCGCGACGGGCAACCTTCGTCGTCCGTTGGAATACTGCTGTGTGTACGTATCTGTATATTTCTCTGCTGATCTCTTGTAGGTACACGTCGAGAAAGGGCACGATCGCGCGCGTTTAGAGAAAATCACTCGTCGGATTAATCCGTAGCTGAGCGAAGCGCCGTAATGGAGCTGGGGATGCAGCGTTGCTAAATTGCGAGACAACGTGAATAAGCGCAAAGCGCGGATAAAGGGCTGAGAGATATATAGGGTGTAACAGAAATGTGAGAAATCCGCTACTTCTGCGGAGCAAGAAATTTGTATAAATATATCAAAAAACAGGGTTGGGCAAGTTATAATGATTTTTTGAAACTAAGTTAAGTTAAAGTTAGTTGCTTATAAAATTAGTTAAGTTAAAACATTAACTCGGTTAAAATTAAGTTACGATTAAATTAACTGAAGTTAAATCAAAAGTTAATTTTTAAAAATATTATTTATAGTAAATTAGAATTTTGTTTGTTAATTCTTTTAAAATATGTAACAACAAATAAGAAAGAAATTTTGATTTTTATATAGAAAGATATTTTTTAATTATTACAATTGATGACAAATAAACATAAAAATTAATAGTACTTTAATTTCAAATTAATACGTTTATAATTTATAAAAAAACAATAATGGTATTCAGAGATGAAAAAATTTGACTTAGGAAAAAAGTTAATAAGTTTAAGGTCAAAAATAATTAGTTAAAGTTAAAAATTAATACATTTTAAATTAACTAAGCTAAGTTAAAAGTTATTAATCTTTTAACTTTTTTTATTTTTAACTAATTAACTAGTTTTTACCCAA